GTCTCCGGGGCCTGTAAGCCCTAAGTTTTAGGCTTTTTAGGCTGACTGTCTGGGACGGGCCCTGTAGGGCCCGTGTGGCTACGCAGTATGCCACACAGTACGCCCAGGCCTGAGGCCTGGAGGTGCTGCACTGCGTGTCAAGCTTTTCCAAACCGCCAGCTGCACGCTGCACACTTGTTTTCCTTTTTCAGCTGGCACCCGCCAGCCATCGTGATCGGGTAAGCCCAAGCTCCTAAATTTTGGGAGTCGGGAACTCACAATTTTGTACAAAACTGGGTCCGTGTACTGGCGGCTTAACGCAGCTGAGACAGCTACATACCTTACCCATAGTAATGCCTAACCTAACCATGCTCTGCATAACTCCGGTTATGGGGAGTGGTGCCCAGTTCAAAGCACAACTGTCAATCAGTCCCTGTCTTTCACCTAAACTTTTTTCACAGATATAATTTGGTATGAACTAAGACAGATGATGTCTAGGAGGGTTTAGGGTTTTGGACTCTCGACTTGTTCTCTTAGTCTAAGCCTCTAAGGCTTAAGGTTCGGGGTGTAAAGGGCGTAGTTTAGAGTTTAGGGTATAAGTGGGGACCACCAGGAACCATCACACACAAAAACGAAGAGAGAGAGAGAGAGAGAGAGAGAGAGAGAGAGAGAGAGAGAGAGAGAAGGTTTAAGGTTCGGGGTTTAAAGGGTGTAGTTTAGGGTTCAAGGTATAGTTGGGGGCGGCGAACCATCATAAACAAACATGAAGGTAGGACCGGTGCTGAAGGCTGTGAGCTCAAGCCCTGAGCTTCAGCTAACATACCCCTTGTTGCCATCCTGCAAACATTTTCTTGCAACTACCGCCTCTCTCCTTTTCCCAGCTGATTGGAGAGGGTAATACCATTGGTTGCCGGGGAAAGGACAGGAGGAGGCAGGGTACAGGATGCTTACCCTGCACTAACACATCCGCCACCAGCCCCCCCTGTTCATGCTTGTGTGGAAAGTCTGCAGGTCGTCATGGAATGACAATAAGACCCCTCTTTTGAGAGATTGAACAAGATTTCATTCCATTTGGTGTTTCTGTATGCATGCTTGTCTATATTTTTTCCCCCGCCCCATTTCGTCTCCTACTCTACTTGGTACTGTCTCTGACAATGAATTATGCACTGTGCTTTATGGTACTAATAACATTAGTTGCTATGGTTCACGTTTTTTCAGCCATGCAAAGGTATTCTCCTGTTCGGTCCGCCAGGTACTGGGAAGACTATGCTGGCCAAAGCCGTTGCAACTGAAGCGGGTGCAAGCTTCCTGAATGTCTCCATGTCTACCATCACATCGAAGGTAACTGATTTCTCGCCGGGAATAAAAAAGGGGCACCTTGGACTTGGAATTATTCCTGTAGGGATTTGCAAATGGGTGCTTGCTTCATGGGTCAGCTCTTGTCTCATTGTGTCCTGGTGTGAGTATTGCCACATGTTAATGATGCGTCATATTTCTTTTCTTGGTTGCTTTCACCCTGCCGCGAAATAGGTATGAATTACTAATGAGTATTGATGTATTATTGCCTTTTGGTTGGGATGGGCACCTTTGAGAGACTGATCTCGAAAGAAAAATGGTGCTGTTTGCTGGAACAACTGCACACTTAATCGTACATGAACTGAGGCAATGTTTCTGGATTCATTCGCTCCGTCTTAAAGCCTTGCTTCCTATTGTCATTGCCATTCAATTTGTGTGCATTTGGTGAAGAAGCGCGATAGATTTGCTAGTTGTTAAATTGCGACATCGCTGTGCGCGTTTTTCTTAGCAGGACTAACGAGCACAAGATCTTTTCCTGAAAATCTTTTGTGATCCTCTAATGTTATTGTTGTATGTCCATCAGGCTTATTAATCTCTTATGATCCTGGCCAATTTCGAGATACACATTCATCAGATATAATCTCCTATGATCCTGGCCAATTTCGAGATACACATTCATCAGATAGTACAATGTCATCCAATTGCAGAAAGAAATGAATGAACTTGAGAGGAGAGAGAAGGTTAGAAGAAGAAGAAGAAGAAGAAGAAAGAAAGAAGAAGAAGATGATGTACACCAGCATAGACAAATGATGAAGCTCTTCTTCGCTCAACCCTCTCTTCCTCCTCATCTCCTCCTCTCTTATTCACACAAGAAATAATAATACAATGTTGAATAGCTGAACCATAATCAAAGTCCGAATCCCTCTTGTACTGCAGGTATCACTTGAGGTCCACCATAGCCATGGCCGCCTCCCTCAGTCTTCACTCTCATAGGCCGAGGCTATGGCGGACTACTTGGGCCTTGCCCTGCTGTGCAAAGGACAATGCAAAGCAGCTATGGCTGCTCTAGCTCAGGCCGCCATGCCTGACTCTGCCTTGAAGCTTCTTGGTGTAGCTCTCCCCAGCTGGGGTCTCCCTGCTGCAGCGTCCACCAAGGTGATGAAGATGGCTGCCACCATAGCCAGGTAAGTACCTCTGGCGCTCCTCCCCCTTCCCGTCCTTCCTCCTCCTCCAAGTCCTTGCTTCTTCCCCAGCAGCGCTGCTCCAAGCTAGCGCTGCTCCAGCCCGCGCTCCAACCAGTGTGTCGCCAAACTTGCACACCGACAATGAGGCTGGGCTCTTCCCCCGGCCTGGAGATATAGCGGCCTGCTTGCCTCTCGGGCGGTGACTTCCAGGCCGCTCGGCCTCCCAAGCAACCGGTACCTCCTCCCTTTCGGAGGGAAACATCATTGCAGACTCTGATATTGCCCGTACAGGCCCTAGACTCAGACTGGTAC